TTAAAGATCAACTGCCCATAAATGTATGGGTTTGTTTCTATACTCTCAATTCTATCCCATTGGTCTTTATGATCTTATGCCAGGACCACACAAACTTGATTACTGCGGCTTTCTAGTAAATTTTTAAAAGATGAAGTGTGAGCCCTAAACTTTGCTATTCTTTTTCTTTTTTTAGAGACTATGTCTCACTATGTTGCCTAAGCAAGTCTCAAACTCCTGGCCTCAAGTGATCATCCCATCACAGGCCCCTGAGTAGCTGGGAACATAGGCACATCCCACCTTACCTGGCCAATTTTTTAGTTTTTGGAGAGATGCAGTCTCCCTATGTTGCCATGCTGGTCTCAAACACCTGGCCTCAAACCATTCTCCCACCTCAGCCTCCCAAAGTCCTAGGATTACAGGTGTATGAGACCAGCCTAAAAGAAATTTTTTATTGGTACATAATGATTGCACATATTTCTGGGGTATTATGTGACATTTTTATACAGACATACAACCATGTAATAATCAAGTAACAGTAAGTGGAATATTCATCACCTCAAACATTTATTATTTATTTGTATTAGGAACATTCCAAATCTTCTCCTCTAGTTATTTTGAAATATGCAATAAATTATTAACTACAGTCACCCTACTGAGCTACCGAACACTCGAACTTATTCCTTTGAACTGTATTTTTATAACCATTAACCAACTTCTCTCCATCCTCTCCTCTCTCCACCGTTCTTAGCCTCTGGTAACCACTATACTACTCTCTACCTCCATGGGCTCAACTTACTCTGTGGCTCCCACATATGAACAAGAATATGCATTATGTCTTTCCATGCCTGGTTATTTCACTTAACATACTGTCTTCCGTTTTATCCATGTTGCCGCAGATAAACAAGATTTCATATTTTTATGGCTGAATAATATTTCATTCCATACCACATTTTCTTTATCCATTCATCTGCTGATGGACACTTACTTAGGCTGATTCCACAGCCTGCCTACTGTGATTAGTGCCACAATAAACATGGAAATGCAGGTATCTCTTTCATATGCTGATTTATTAAAGTGATTATTTTCAGGCGGGGCATGGTGGCTCACACCTGTAATCCCAGTACTTTGGGAGGCCAATGTGGGCGAATCACAGGGTCAGGAGTTCAAGACCAGCCAGACCAACATGAGAAACCCTGTCTCTAAAAAATATAATAATAATTATTATTATTATTATATTTTTTTAAGACAGAGTCTCGCTGTGTCACCCAAGTTGGAGTGCAATGGCGTGGTTTCGGCTCACTGCAACCTCCACCTCCCAGGTTCATGTGATTCTCCTGCCTCAGCCTCCTGAGTAGCTGGGATTAAAGGCATCTGCCACCACAATTGGCTAAATTTTCTATTTTTAGTAGAGATGGGGTTTTACCATGTTGGTCATGCTGGTCTCAAACTCATGAACCTGTGATCCGTCCACCTCGGCCTCCTAAGCACTGGGATTACAGGTATGAGCCACCGTACCTGGCAACAACTATTTTTTTAATTATCTTTTTGGATGGTTCATCACAGTATACACAAAACTAATTTTTGTACACTAACCTTGTGTCCTATGATGTTGTTAAATTTAATTACATCTACTAGGTTTTTTGTGTGAATTTCTTCGGATTTTGTACATGTAAGATCATGTCATCTGCAAAGAAAGAGAATTTTACTTCTTCCTTTCCAACCTGGATGCCTTTTCTTTTCCTTTTGCCGAACTACCTTGGCTAGAACCTCCACTGGAAACCTGCTTTTCACTGTTGAAAGAAGTGGCAAGGGCAAGATATCTTCATCTTATTCCTAACATTAGGGATAAAGCTTTCAGTCTTTCACCATTAAATACGATGCTAGATATTGGATTTTGTCAAATTTTTTCTGCATTTATTGAGGTAATCATGTCCGTTTCTTTCCTTTTCTATACCAACATGGTGTGTCACACTGATTGATTTTCATATGCTAAGCCAGCTGTACACTGCAGGGATAAATGTAACTTGATCAATGTGTATTATTATTTTTACAGGTTGCTGGATTCAGTCTGCAAATATTTAGTTGAGGATTTGTGTGGGTACATCCACAAAAATTATTAATCTGCAGTTTTCTTTTTTTTTATTTAAAAAAATATGGAATGCTTCACAAATTTGTGTGTCATCCTTGCGCAGGGGGCATGTTAATCTTCTCTGTATCATTCCAATTTTAGTATATGTGCTACTGAAGCAAGCACTAATCTGTAGTTTTCTTGTGATGTCTTTGCCTAGTTTTAGTACTAAGATAATACCGCCCTCATAAAACGAGCTAAGAGAGATTCCCTCCTTTTCTGTTTTTTTTTGAAAAGTGATGGCATTTTTTTGAATGATTGGCATTAATTCTCCTTTAAACGTTTGGTAGACTGCATCAGTGAAGCCTCTGAGCCTGTGCTTTTCATTTTTGGAGGTACTTTTATTCAATCTCTTTGTTACAGATCTATTCAGATTTTCCATTTCTTCTCCAGTCAGTTTCTAGAAACTTGCCTATTTTACCTACGTTATTGAAATTGTTAGGATACCACTGTTCATATTCCCCTATAGTCGTTTTTATTTTGGTAATATCTCTCATTCCTTATTTTAGTAATTTGGGTCCTCTCTCATTAAAACTTTTTTTAAAAAGATAAAAGTAGCCAGGTACAGTGTCTCATGCCTATTATCCCAGCACTTTAGGAGGCCAAGGTGGGAGAATTGCCTGAGCCCAGGCATTCAAGACCAGCTTAGACAACACGGTAAGACCCTATCTCTACAAAAAATAAATTAGCCAGGTGTGGTGGCACACACCTATGATCTCAGCTACTTGGGAGGCTTAAGCGTGAGAGTCACTTGAGGCCAGGAGTTCCACTCTAGCCTGGGCAACACAGCAAAACTTCAAAACAAAAAACAAACAACAAAAAAAAAAAAACATAAGGTGCCCCTGGGTCTGGTAACACATGCCTATAGTCCTAGCTACTCAGGAGCCTCATGTGAGAGGATCACTTGAGCCCAGAAATTTGAGGTTATACTGTGCTATGATCCTGCCTGCAGAACAGCCACTGTACTCCAGCCCAGGCAAACCAGCAAGGATTCATAAAAAAAAAAAAAAAGCAAAACCCACATGGTGGGTGGATTTGTCCTATCAGATATCAAGATTATAAAACCACATTAATGTGTGATATCATTTCCAGGAAGACAAATAGACCAATGGAACAGACCAATGACATGAAACAGAATCAAACCAAGTATTTAATATATATGATTATTTGGTTTACGATAGACAGCACTGTAGCCTTAAAAAAATACAACAGATTTTTTCTGATGAAGAAAAAAAAGGAAAAAAAAAAAAAAAAAGAAAAAAAGAAATAGTACTGGGAAAACAAGGTATCACATGGGGAGAAAATGAAATTAGATCCCCAGGCTGCTCTGCCTAGGGAGTAGCCAGCCATTCTTTATTCTTTTACTTTGTTAATTAACTTATTTTTCACTTTACTCTTAAAAAAATAAAAGAAAGAAAAAGAAAGAAATTGGATCCCTACATCATACAATGGCAAATGGATTGACTATAGACATAAAATGTGAAGAAAGGTGAAAATATTAACTTACAAAGGATTAGTATCCACAGATTACACAATATGTATAAGATATCCTATAAATTAATAAAACGGCCAACCAAAGAGAAAAACTGGCCAGGTATGGTGCCTCACACCTGTAATCCTAACACTTTGGTAAGCTGAGGTGTGAGAATCTCTCGACCACAGGAGTTTAAGACCAGCCTGGACAACATGGCAAAACCCCATCTCAACAAAAAATACAAAAATTAGCCAGGCATGGTGGTGTTCACCTATAATCCCATCTATTTGGGAGGCTGCAGTGAGCCTTGTTCGCACCACTGCACTCCAGCCTGGGCAAGAGAGTGAGACTCTATCTCAAAAAATAAATAAATAAAATAAAAATAAAAAGAGGATCCAGAGGTGATTTAATTTTAGGAATGTTATTAATAGAAAACATCAGCTGGGTGTGGTGTAATCAAGCCTGTAATCCTAGCACTCTGGGAGGCTAAGGTAGGCAGATCACCTGAGGTTAGGAGTGAGACCAGCCTGGCCAACACGGTAAAACCCTGTCTCTACTAAAAATACAAAAATTAGTCGGGCATGGTCGTGCATACCTATAATCCCAGCTACTCAGGAGGCTAAGGCATGAGAACTCTTCGAACCTGGAGGCCGAGGCTACAGTGAACCTAGATTGCACCACTGCACTCCAGCCTGGACAGCAGAGTAAGAC